GTAGCAGAGCAGGTGCTCTCGTGCTTGTGTGGCAGAGGCCCTGTAGGGTGAGGCCAGCTCTGGCAGCCAGGAAAGGCCAGGGCACATGAGCTTTTCCAGTTGGTGGGTCAGCAGTGGAGCACAATCTGTAGGGGAGTGCAGGGAAGTGCTTTTCTTTTGGTGTCCTTGGTCTGGGTTGGGAGATGTCCCTCTGGCAGTGTCTCCTAAAGCCAGTCTAGGGGAGAGCAGACCCAATTTTTTGCAGCAGTACCACCCTAGTCTGGTCCCAGAAGTGGCTGCAGAGGTCCCAAGGCCACCACGGAGGTTGGCTCTCACGTGGGGGACTCTCCTTGGCCTACAGAGATGCCAGGGCTGGGCAGATCCAGGCATGGGGGCAGGTGGGCCCAGTCCCCTGCAGCACTGACTCAGTCCCTGCTCTAGTTGTGGGGAAAGGTGTCCCTGCAGTGCCCTCCATACAGACCTGTTTCTGCTGCAGGCAGAAATGATGCCGTGAAGCTGGTGGTTTGCCTGAGCAACTGAGGCATTGGTGCCCTTATAATCCTAGAGCACCTACAGCCTCCGCCAGGAACGAGCAAGAGTGGATCTGCGTGCTTGTTGGTGTGCTTCTGGCCTTTGCACCCAGGTGACAACCAGAGCACCCACTCTGTGTTTATGTTGTTAATGTTGAGGGTTGTCACAGTGTGTTCCCAGCTGGTGACTCCTGTGCCACGTGGCAAGGAATAAGCTTTAACAGGCCTTGGAGGAGCAGTTGGCCACAGCTATGAGGAAGCTTGGGGATTGCACACAAAGCAGATACTGTCCCATTCAGGTGAAGCTAAACTAAAAGACCTGGGCAAACAGGAAAATGCCTTCAAGCCTGGCTCACTTCTGTGGCTCCAGGTGCTGGAGGCCATGGCAGGAAGATGCCCCTCACTGTGAAGGCTTTTGCCCCATGTTCCCTTTCCCCAGTGCAGTGGCTGCCGATATCTTGGCCGTGCAGCGCTTGGCAGTTGGCAGCTGGGCTGCAACAGGGTGGGAGGCACTTCATGGGGCTGAGCCCCCCATTCCTGGGCTGGTGTGAGGCCATGGAAGGCTGGCAGCTGTTCAATGAGTGAGCCTGGAGCACGGGCCAGTCTGCCCCTCAGTGCTGTGCCAGCCACACCTGCTGGTCTTTGGGCCGGGTTTGTGTGTCCGTGCTTGTGAGCAGCCCCTCCGCAGCCCACAAAGCCCGTGGGCA